GGGCAGAATATCTGAGGAGGGAGGGTTGCACTCAGAGAGACCAGATGGGGAACAGAGGTGCAGCTAGCCCTGTAACCATGACTCCCTACCAAAGAACAAATGCTATATGAAAGGACGTGTCCACACTTCCTGTGCTCCTTCAGACACCCCCAGTTCAGAAATGGCTAGAGTTCACCAGATCACTTTGATTCCTCTCTAAGTATCAGGCCAAATCCTGTTCACTTTACTCATGAGTCCCACTGAAGTTAATCTAGTGTCTGTTTTTAGAGATGGAAGTAAACAGTTATTTAAGTTCATGAACTTGTCTATCTGCCCACCTCATGGGTGGTGATGAAATAATACAGAAATCCTAGGAGAGACGGTTCAGAAAAAAATCTAGTGGCTCCAGAGGGACTGAATGGCTCTTGGGTACAATTTACTGCAGGTTGTTATCATTTTAATAGCATTTCGATCAACAGTCACACCTTATAATGCACAGCTACCAAATCTATTTTTCCCCTCAAAGGTAAATTGCTCACATTTAAGAGATTTACAAAACATTTACCTATCTTTTGTAAAAACACTGTCTGAACACTAACATGGTAACAGAAGATGCTGATTTAATAATTTTATATCCACAACATGTTGCTGACCTATTTTTACTTTGGAAGAGTGGGGGGAAAAAGCTTATGTAAAGAAAGTATTGGTAACTGATCACCACTTTCTGGAGACAAACATACAATATCTGTGTCAAGACAAATAGACTTAGACTTCCATTTGAACAAAAAAATAGTAGTCCTCACATATCCATTATTTCCATGAAGACTTTCATTGTGCATGCAAAATAAAAGGGCATGGTATTTCATTATGGAGTCTGATCCCCTGAAGATGGTAGTTCCCTTGGGTCAAGCTGATGAAACAGTTATTATATCTGCCTGAAAAACATTACAGCATAGGTTTCTAGTCATAGTCCCAATTCTTTACATTTCACTTGCACTCAGATTTCTAAAGACATATTGATCCTATGTTTATAGGACAAAAAGGTATGTTATCTAGCTAATTTCTTCATAAATCCCAAACTCTTCGACATTTCTAAATTGTCTAAAATTAAATGTAAAGATTACATATTACAATATTTCTCTCTTTGATCAATATAACAGAGGTCACTAGAATCCTGTGGCACTCCAGGGCTAATTTTTATATTGTCCTTAGTTGGAGCCCACAGCATTGCTGCAGCAAGTGCTATGAAATTTGGCAAATTAATTTATCTTTGATAAGAATCTTAGAATCAGAATGAATATACTACAACAGTGATATATAACATGGTTTAAAAGGTACTTATAGTAGTATGCAATGGCCATTAATTCTGCTTGACAATCTGTGTTGTTCCATCATATGGCCTAGGGAATATCAGATAACTTTTGATAGTGTATCTTTGTCTGTTTATATCAGAAATGTAAATTTAATACATAGCATTTGTCACATTCTAAATATTCCAAGTTTGTTACACGTTAACTGTATCAATCCTTGCAGCATCTCTGCAAAACATGCAAGTATTAAGGTTGTCATGCTATCTCAAAACCAGAATGTCTTGTTTGATGCATCTGCATGGTCTCAATGTTTTTTCCATGTTATAAAGAAAACTGATTTGTTCTTGGAACTTCGGCTAAACAGGTGGGCAGCGCAGAGCAGAGTTGAGTGTATTTTAAGAATCGTTTAAGTTCAAGGGTGAGTAAATTTTAGTGTCTTGCAGTTCTCCCTGAGGGAAAAATTGCATTAATATTTCTCTCTGAGTCTAATCACCTATATAGCATGGGGATAGTAATTCTGATCTATCCCAGAGAGGTGTCATGACATTAAATTAACTAATTTTGTGTGCAGCATATTGAGGTCCTTGGATCAAAGATGGTGCAGAAGTATGAAGCTTTATCATCATCCTGATGTTGTAGGATCACAAGCTAGGCTCATCAAGTCTGACAGCTGTCAATACTACTCTAACACTCTGCACTGAGAGATGTCTCAGGATGCACCAGGCTATTGGGGAAACCTCTACATGTATTCCCTGCTAACCCAGTTAACTCTCCTTTATCCTACAAAATCAGAATAAGGAAAGGAGGTAAGTTCTCTGCCTCCTGGAAATCCGGAGGTGGGAACAAGCCATCCATTCCACTGAAGACAATAGGAGCCAAGTCACTAGGCCATCTTTCTCCATTCCCATTTCAGTAAACACAGGGGAGGGCAAAGTAGAGGATAGGCTGGACTTGTTGGAAATGACAAGTTCCTGTGAGGACGGGGGTGACCTAGCCTGGTTCTTGTTGGGTTTTGCTGAATCATTGGGTGAATCTGACCGTGTTTTGGGTTAACGAAACTTTCACATGGATCTAAATAGCTTGTACATATTCATTTTGTTAGACCCTCTTTGAAGTATCTTTTAGAAACAGTACATGTGATTTAGCAGTGGATGCCTTCTCATTTGCTGGAGTAAATCGATAAAAAACATGAACAAGAAATAAGAATCTTGATGTTTCAATTCCCCATTGCAAAAGCCCCATCTATCAGATGAGCAATTTCACCAACAGATGAGTGACAAACTACATAATTACAGCAGTTCTGTACATATTTACATGACACACTGTTTGTTGCTGTTTTGTAACCCTGATAGGGAGACCAGCTCCAAAAATGAAGTCTACATCTGGTGTAGATGGGGATTTCTGTTTTTCAGTTTTATTTTTGTGACTTGCAGTATGGATTAACAATAAAACCAAAGACAAAGTGCATATGTTCTAAATGATCAGCATGTATAATATAGGAGTCAAGCACTGAGCTCTAAAGATTAATACCGTATTAAATTGTGATGACTTTTTTACTATGTTAAAGGCAGATTAGGATCATGCTACATAAAAGGTAAAGGAAATCCAAGAATTTTCACTTTGTGTGATCAATACAGCAGTTGAGGATCTGATTAAATCTAAGTTGCAATTGTCAGTAGTCTAACAGGCCAGCATCCAAGACTAATGGAAATTGTCAGGCAGAATGAACATTGTGGAATGGGAAGGAATTTTATTTTTAAAAATCTTCCATTGCACATGCAGAATTTCCAAGGAAAACCCTCCTGCAATATCATCCTAGTCTGCACATCTTTACTTGAACAAATATTTAATAAAATGGCCAGTATTAAGAAAATCTCAATCTCCATTTCAGATTGAAGTTGTCTCTCATCTTCTGTTGTAAGTTACTGAGGATAAGAACTGTTTCTCTCACTTCTACAATCACAATATGATTCCTTTATGAGTTTAATGTCCTAGTACAAGAAGTCATTTTACTTTCAGCATTGTGCTTTGATTAGCAGAAAAATGGTGGTAATGATGGTAATTGAGCTACTACTTGTATTTTCTGCATACAGTTTTAGAAGATAAATTTGGTATGAGAGTGATTGATCTTTCATAATGTGCATTGTTTGAAAAATCAGTATGGCATACGTAAAAGAAGGAACCAACCACTGAAAGAAACACAAATTTATTGAATAACTGGTTAAGTTACAAGGAATACACATTTAAGAGCCAATCAGTTTCCTTCTGCAGCAGAGCACATAAATGTTCAGACATTTTAGAACTACGTTGTTTTGCAGAAATTGGACCAAACCCTCTTGGAGATATCCATGGTCTTTGTTTCAAAGAGGACATAATTATTTCACCATTGGAAGTCATCTGAATATGAATTTTTACTGTAATCTGTAATAAATGTCACTGGAGATTATTATTTTTGTGATCTGATGTATCAAATGGATCCAATATGAAGAGTGGTGTGACAAATACAGCTAGTACACGCACTTGAAAAACTAATGGTTTTTAAATACTGTCTGGGTCCTATGATACCCAAAGGTAACATCCATCCACCCGTAATTTAAACCAATGGGCAAGTGGATAGATCTTGTTCCACAGTATTTTTATACTGTAAAATTCTTAAATATAAGTTTATCTCCAAACAGTATGGCTGGGAAACATGTTTGAGTAGTCATAGTGAACACAGTGTGTAGCCCCTTTTAGGTGGAATGTGCCTTAGTAGAAGGATCTGGGACGTGCTAGAAATAGCGTGAAGCGGGTTGTATTGCAGAACCGATCCTGGCCGAATTAGTAAGCCCGAGGCTTTCCCTCAATCTCGAAGACTCTATGGCTATGTCTTCACTGCAAAAAGGTGTGTTTTTACAGTTATCCCTTTTATACAAAATGCCTAGTGAAGACAGGGCACAGGCAGGTTTTTAACCCCAATGTAACTAGTCAAGGTAAACACTGGGAGGAGTGTGTGCGCGGTGGTATAGAGTTGACTTTGACTAGCTACATCAGGGTAAAAACTACCTGTGTGCTGTTTCTGCTAGGAATTTATGTCAAGATAACAAGTTCTATTAAACCCTCCCCCCCCAAAACAAGCCCCCCACAATGCACCTCCCCCCTTTTTTTCAGTGAAGACAAAGCTGGTGTGAGACAAGACCATCCCCATCTCAGAGCACGTGCACACGTTCTGTATGAACCTAAGAAATGTATAAACTGTGTTCAGGAAACTCACAGCCACATTTTAAAAGGTAGACACTTTGGAAAATCTTACTAGGTGCCTATCTGCATCTTTAGGTGCCTAAATACCTTTAAAATGTGGCCAGTAATGCATGGTGAATCTGCAAACCAGCTACCCTTTTATCTTTGACTTATTTGGAGTACAAGCCAGGTGTTCCTCTATCACAGGCATCTTTTTAAAGAAAAAAACAAACCCAAAACTACCCCCTCCCCAAAAAACAACAGCCAACCGCCTAGAAATGAGGCAGAAGTTTGTAGACTTTCGTAACTTGTACATAAAGAAACTGCAGTGTTAAGTCACATAATTTTAACTTAGAAATATTTGATGTTCTTATTGAACTTTTTGAGCTTTGAGTAAAAAATAGACAAGCATATTCAGGCTTGTAAACATATCTTTAGTAATGATGGGCTAGCTGTGATGTATTTCTTTCTTTCTCTCTGTCTCTCTCTCAGATAAAGAAGAGGCAGCAAGATGTGGTACGATTTCTGGAAGCCAACAGGATAGATTTTGAAGAGGTGGATATCACAATGTCGGAGGAACAAAGACAATGGATGTATAAAAATATTCCTGAGGAAAGACAGCCTGCACAGGGCAATCCACTGCCACCCCAGATATTTAATGATGATCAGTACTGTGGAGTAAGTAGCTTTGAGGTCCAGACTGGTTACATTAAGTTAGTGTTGACCATTGAATAGGGTTACCATCCGTCTGGGTTTCCCCGGACATGTCCGGGTTTTTCAGCCTTAAATGGCCGTCCGGGGGGGGATTTCTAATTAAGTAGAAATGTCCGGGATTTCCCCTCCTGCGGAGTGCGGCGCGGCTGATTGGACGCCTGGCCTGATGGAAAGCCGCTCGCAGCCACTAGGGCCTCTAGCAGCCAGAGTCCCTCCCCTTCCCCCGCTCCCTCCCCTTCCTCCCCCACAGAGCAGCCGGCAGTGTTGGAATCCACGTGGAGCTCACAGTTCTCCCTCTGCCGGGTGAGCAGGGGAGGGGGGCAGGCGGGGGTGTGTGTGCAGAGGCTGCAGGGGCAGGGCAGGCGGGGGGGAGCAGAGGCTGCAGAGGCGGGGGGGCGCAGAGGCTGCAGGGTGAGGCGGAGCAGGGCAGGCATGGGCATAGGGGCTGCAGGGCGAGTGGGGAGCAGGGAAGCACTTAGCAACCCCCAACCAAGATCAGAGCGGGAGGGAGGAGGGGGAATGCGGGGTGCTCAGAGGAGGGGGCAGAGTTGGGGCAGGGACTTTGGGGAAGGGGTTGGAATGGGGGCGGAGAAGGGGTGGGGTTGGGGCCGGGGGCGGGGAAGGGGCGGAGTTGGGGCAGGGGCGGGGCCGGGGCCCCGTGGAGTGTCCTCTTTTTTAAATGTTTGAATATGGTAACCCTACCATTGAAATACAAAGTCATCAGTATCAAACTAGTTCAAAAAGTGGAGAGTTGGGGCTTGTTTATATATATAATATAGCAGCTCTTCATCTCTTGCTTCTTCAATCCCTTGACCAGTGAATCCTTTGGGAGATGGGGTGTGCATATTGGCTGGTTGGGAGATCAGTAGGTTTGACTGTTGGATGACATGCCCCAGGAACATAACTGGAGGCAGACAGGGGTTGTGTTTATGGGTTGATGCAGCAGGAAGGTGAGATGGGTGGATAGGTTGGAGTTGATGTCTTGTTTATAGCGTGCAATGGGTTAAGGCAGGTGGCTGTCTGGTGGAGGTGGGTAACAAGCGGGTCTGTACAGTATCTGGGAGATGATTCAACCCTTAATCTAACAGATGGGGTGGTGGAAAGGTTTGTTGCAGTTGATAGATGGGTGAGTTTTATTGTATGGGGAAGAAGGGTAACAGCAGTTGCTCTTCAGCCATACCATGTGTGGCTCGTTGTCTGTTCCTATTTATTTGCAGTGGGGTAGCTCTAATCCCAACTGTGCGAATTGTGTCCAAGCAGTGCGGTGTGCAACAGGTCCATTGGATGGGATAAGCATGTTCCTAAGACATGAGGGGATACTTGTGGCCCTCTCACTTATGTACAGTGGAACTTCCACAAGTGTACAAAATTTGGTTAATTTGGGGAAGGGATCTGAAATTTTTGGGGATGCCAATTTTGCATCTTTTTTTGGGTTCCTTTTATTAGTGCATTTAAGCATGTTTTATAATAACTAGCTAATTCCAAACACAAGTTGTGTTTAACTAGATGGAAAGAGTCTCCCATGTGTCACGAAAATCATCTTGTTACTATATCTGTGCAGTTGATATCTGTTTTGATTGAGGAGACCTAATTCTGTTACTGTTGCTAGACTGCACAATCTGTGAACAGCTTTAAAGAGCGGCTTTACTTTGAAAAGAGACTTGGACTATGTCTTTCCTGACAAAAAGATGTTTACATCATAAGATAACTAACACACATTAGCAATGCTGCTGTAAAAACATAATGGAGACAAGCCACTTTAGTTTTACGGGGAGATAAAGTAGGCAAGATCAAGGGGTGGGGGGGAAGGGACGTGTATAGTGCTGACCTTGCCTAGCAACTTCCCAGTAAACACTATAAGTGTCTTTCTCCACTTGGGATTTTATAGTGAGCTAGCTGTTGTGTGTTTAGTTTTCTTGCTGTCAAAACACACACACTTTAATGTCAGTGAAGACAAAGTCTTAGTGAAAATGGCAGTGTGTAGGGTTCAGTGTTTTTTGTGTCATCGTGATTTCTAAATCCAATGTGCTCAGCTTACAAAGGTCTGCTTATTTTTCCAACTGCCAGGTCTGCAAATTCAACATGGCATCAGGAAGCTAACCTGGGTATTTTTTCCTCTAGCTTAGGCATTATCACCAGCAATAAAAACTATATAGGCCAGATCTGCTTGTGGTTAGCTGTGCAACCCTCTTATCTGATTCCTTGGATTGTCTTTTTTCTTTATGCATTTGGGTGAGAGGAAAAAAGCTAACCAGATGCAGGTTTTTTTTAGATTGATTCACTAGGGTTGCACAGGTGGGCACGGTCCTACAATTGGATCCAACTGCTGATGTATAAGCCACTATAGACACAAGGTCACTTGCATAGAAGTGTAGGTTCTATAGTGATAATTAGTAAAAAGTAATGAAGGCTTCCCCCCCACCCCCCGCCCCTTGGTAAAAATCAGCAGATACGACTATGAATACACAAAAGGAGTACTTGTGGCACCTTAGAGACTAACAAATTTGGTGCCACAAGTACTCCTGTTCGTTTTTACAGATACAGACTAACACGGCTGCTACTCTGAAACCTGTGAATACACACTGGAACTAGACCTGCTAAGTAGGAAGGTGGCTTTTGAAGTAGTCACTTTTCAGAGTATAATTGCTCTGTAAAGGGAATATTATTCAGTGTTTACATTTGATAGCTTGGAGATTAAAGTGGCTGAAGCAAACCAATGAATGATCTGTTCTGGTATGCTGTCTCTAACCATATCTAATGCTGAATGGTTCACAAGATGCAAAACAAACATAACACACCTAATTGCGCAGTACACTACTGTACCACCACCTGCTGATTAGCTCCTGCCCTGAAGTGTGAAGACTCCAAGCCCTGGTAATTGTGTCTGAGCTAGTTTAACTGCAGATGTCCTCATAGATCTGCCTAGTGCTGTTTCAGTCTTTCTGCAATCTCTGCCTCACAATTGCTCAGTAGTGAGCTCCATTAGTGGGATGTTGCAATAATAACAGTACCTATAGTCTGAAAGTAAAATTCTCAGACTGACGGCATCCGCAAACCCACATCAACATGAATAATTTAACAGTCCAATTTTGGTGCCAGTGCTTCTTAATATTGTAGTCATTTGTATGCCATTGGAATGTGTTGCCTCGTTCCAGGGACATTATTATAGCATCATAAATGTGTGTGGCACTTGAGACAAAACAGAGACATGAGGACCAGCGCCTTTCATTTACACTGGTTTAAATGTGTAACTACTTCAGTGTAGTTACTCTAGCTTACACCATGTAAATGAGAGAAGTTGGCACATGGTCCCTTCCCAAAGGAATTTACAATCTGTTTGATGTTGCATAAAGAAAGGTTAAAAACAGAGACATTTGAGGGAAGAAAGGTGAGTAGAGCACCACAGTTGCAATAATATACAGCCATTTTCCCCAGATGGGGTGCTTGGTATCAGTGGGAGAACTTCAGAGCTAGAAGGATCATTTTAAATTTCAGCTCAATGCTTACGTAGGTGAGTGAACAGGATTCAGTTGACTGGAAATGACCTACCCAGTCTAAAGCCTTTTGTGTTCAGGATTACTCATTTGTCTGATGTAGCACTAGTGCTCATGCTTTAAATGAGACTTTCATTGATCTGATTAGGTTTTTTGAAAAAAACAAAACAAAACAAAAACATTTTAAAATAGGGAATTCCACTGTGTTCGGTTACCTAAAGAAGAGCAGGCTTTGAACACTTCTCGCTGTGCCTGTCTCCCCCTCCCAACCATTCTAGGGGGAAAGTTAAGTAACTAAAAACACCTTTTAAAGCAATTCTATAAACTTTTTTGCATTTAGCAAAAAATCAGTCGCAGAGACAAGTCTCTAAATTGGTCAATATAGAAGTTTTAGAACAAGGATTATAATACTTAAAACTTCAATGGTGCTTCATATTTTAATCCCTGATTAAAACAGACCAGCGTTGCTTTTATTTGAGCAATAAAATGTTCCTGCTAAGTGGGCCAGGCCTTAGTTGCCAGTCTGTTGGCTCCTGAAATACTGATCTGTATAATTACATTATTCTTACTGTTACCGCCTGAGGGGCTTGAGGCGGACTTCAAATGGTCCGTTGGCCCGGCGTGCTTAGCACCAATAAAGACACCGAGGGGAGAAAGCAAGCCAAGTTTATTTCAGAGCTCTGAAATGACACTAGGAGACCAGCATGTCTCAAATCCAGTGCAACAAATACAAATAACTTTTGCCTTTTATACCCCAAGCTGTTTCTGTGTAAGCCTTTGTCTATTACTCCCTCTCACTACTCCCACCCCTCCCTTCTTTAGCCGTTACAATTAGAAAAGTTCCCATACGCCTGCTTATCTTTCGGCCTTGCAAGGCCTGTTTACAGCAGCTGCCTGCTAGAAAAGCTGACCCTTACATTTCTACTTCAGCCTGTAAGCAGTTTAGCCTAAAAGTAGGTGAGAGTTCACAAGATGGAGTCTGGGGGTTCAGATAGGCCCAGAGCAAAAGAGCTTCATCGACACTTTGGCCTTCCACTCTCCCGAGTTACCTGGTAGCTATGCCTAGAGGCCCCCAACATTACCATTGGCTGTCAGCATGTTACTTGGCTGTCCTTGATTTATCAGCACACACCTGTGCAACAGAAGACGTCACAATTTTTTCTGGGCTCTCTGTTTCTGCCTGCTCAAGGAGCAAATGTTCTGATGATCCAAGTGAAGGCAAGAGGATTCCGTAAATCTACTTGTTCAGTATGTCACATTTTAAGGTTATGCCTGTAATGTCTCCAAACATTACTGAGCTCCAGTGGAGTAAGAAGACAGTGCAGGAAGATAATAAATCTCCTGAAGAAAATGTTGTTTTAACAGCAAGATAAAAATTCAGAAAGTTGAATATAGTGTTCATGAGCTCCAAAACAAAATTAATTGATTATAGAAAACTTTCATGATTCTATAATTCATAGTGTGTATCAC